GTTTGCCTTTCTTTGTGGTGTGGTTCATAGTCTAAGAGAGAGAGAGAGAGAGAGAGAGTAGATATGAAGGTTTTGATCCAAGATCTTCACGAGACGGCTAGGGCACCATTGCATGTCTCCCTTTTTAAAGATTAGTCCATTCACTATCTAGCTCGAAAGAAAAGTATACCCCTTTGCTGACTTAGCTAAAATAGACTCTTTAGCTGGAGTTGCCATGGGAACCTTGGACCGCGTGATGATTGCCAAGTTATTAGGTAACAAGCAAGGAACACTCTTGCTTAAAATAAAAATCAAGTGCAATCAATAACTAAGAGGAGTTCTAGCGAGCAATCTGCTTTATACTTGATCTTGTAAATTTACTTGCAGCTAATGGCTTTTTTCCCTGTAAGCAATGAGACTAAGCCCTTGTCTGGTATCCATTATTTTCAAAATACATTTTTCTTTTATTTTTAATCACACATTTTTCATTAAAATAATATTACACGCAAACCCAAATTTTTTTCTTATTTTTAATCACACATTCTCCACCAAAATACTATTCCAAAATACATTTTGGACAAAAAATGGGGCTCAAATATGAGCCAAGTCTTATTTTAAAGATTGAATAAAAAGACCATTGGGAACTCAGAACATTTTTTAAAAGTTAATAACTTTATCATTCTTTTTATAAGTTCAGCTCGAGTGGAACAATTGTTAATGCTCTATTTCTTCTCTTCCTCCCTTCTTTGAAAGTACTTTCATTTTCCTTCTCTTTTGTCGAGTTTTCGCCTTTCTTGAGGAGATATAAAACAAGGAGACCTTCGCTAAGCATGTCAACGCCCATATGGGAGCTTGAGCCTGATCATAAAAACCTGTAATTAAATCAAAGGAAAATATTCCGAAAAACCTGAATTGTTTGATGAATTTTTATTTTTGTTTAAGAAATGACAAATGATATTGTTAATAAACCTACTAATAAAGAAAAAAAAAGGGAAAATATAGCTGATTGAGAACATATGGACTGCGTGTAGAAATTATTTGAATTGCTTGTCTTTAGATTTATATTACGTATACTGGTGTTGGAATATTCCACACCGTTCACCAGCTTATCAGTTCATCTTCAACAGAACACGTTCAACACATGCCTTCTCTCCAGCTTATCAGTTCACGTTCTCAGCAGGTTCCCAGCATGATTCAGCACCTCATTCTAGCATATTCTAGATCCTTCTTATTGTAGTTAGTTTGCTACATTTACTCTATAAATAGAGCTATGTAATTACCTTTATACTTG